ATCCGGAGTCGTAATTGACTCACTTTACAAATGTCTCCTTCCAACGTATGAATAATGCGTTTACGTCGTATTTTACTTCCTTCCTATCATGAAAATCCACCTCCAGTGGCGAATTTAATTTTTTTTTCCTTAGGGGAGGGGTTGAGCCCCCTCCCCCTTCCCCTCTACACCTCGTTGCCGTTGCCTTAGTCGAGCATTTTGATTAGAATTGTTTAAATATTCGTGATGCAAAGTCTAGGAAAAGGAGAATGAAATTTATTAGATTTCAAACTAGCTCCTTTCAGACTCTCACGCACGCAGATGCGAACCCAAGTTTTGCACAGCATCCATGACCGGTGCCAAAAGAAACTTAGAGAATTCGAAAATTATCAGAGAAGGAAATTCCATCCCAAACCTGGAATTCTGAGGTGACTGCACATGAATAAATATAGTAATTAGCGGTTGCCCAGGTAACACACTGACGTTGTGACAGCGTCGTATAAGAGCAATAATGTTGTGCATGCGTCACCCTGATGTTTGAACAATGTTGTTATGATGTCTTCGCCACAACATTAGACAAATAACTAAATTTCGCATAAAAAACATGGATATAATTTCACAAGAAATAATTGTGATGAAGCTGTAACATTTTCAGGGCCTCTGAATATATTATAATTACCACAACATATGGAATGTTGTGGCTACATTGTAGAAAACATTGTTTCAACATTTTAATGTTCTTTTATACGATGTTGTAGTAACATTTTCCTATAACGTTGTGACGACGAATTCTTTCTGGCGTTAACAATGTTCCCAGTCGGCACATCCGTGTCGTGTCAACGCTGAGAAAAGGTTGAAACTTTGAGACTTTGTATTAGCAGCATATTGTGACTATTAGTGAATAATCCACGAGTAGTCATAACATGCTGCATCTACTGTTAATTACGAATAGCCAGCATTTCATTGATGTCGATTCTTCGTCGGATTCCCGACTTAACCAAGTCTCAACGTTGACACAACATGGCTGTGTTGACTGGGTTTTGACAATGTGTTAAGTAATACCCTCACCATCTAAAAGTTCATTCAATCGGCGCCAGATGGAATCTCAACGCCGCTCTAGCAAATCTCCCTTTCATGTACCGGAAATGAGTTCCCTATATTTTTATTTCGGTACCTGGTCTTTCCCCACGTTAAACTAAGGGGAATAGTTTTGGAATTCTTGGATAGACCCGTTTAGGTGAGTTACACGGCGGAAGGTGACTCCGGGTACTTCTTGCATTCGGGTCGGAGAAAACATGGCAATATAATTCACTCCACGGAGAAAAATGTCCTCTAAGTTCTGATTTATTAAGAGAAGGTGAAACAGTATAAATCTTACTGAGGGGTTGTCTCTCGAAATCTCTGGGGAGAAAAGTGAGTACAGTATATCATGGGGTGACTAACTCTTTTAAAGTCACCACGAGTAAATGCTCATTATGAGGCTGTGCACTTGCCAGCATCAGCATGTCAGGCAGTTGCAAGTATTAATGTGGGGGTGTGAGTGAGTATTATTTACAACTCCACAATAGCCACTTCTCACTTAATGTCGTCACAACGTTGTTGAACAGAAGGGAAATGTTTTCACGACGTTGTGTTAATATGTGTAAAATTTAAAATAAAAGGACATTTAGATGTTGTAACAAGGTAGTCTACAACTTAGTCGCAACATTCCATATCCTGTGGTACAACATTTCCACAACGTTGTCACAACATATGTGTGTTACCTGGGTGAGGGAATGCAATTCTGTAACAGACCTGACGAAACCCACACAGCACAGTGATAGCCCAGGGATGTCTCTTACTGGACGACTTGTCTCCTGGTCTTTATAGGATATCCTGAAGACATCTTCTTTCGGACGGTTTCGGACATCTCGTAAGGGATGTCTTCTGGATATCTAAGGGACGTCTTTTAGACATCTTCAGTCGATATCTTTGAGATATCCCTTTCGGGATATCTTGAAGACATCCTTAGTCGAATGCTTCTGGATCCCACACAGCACAGGTATATCCCAAAGATATCCCAGAGATATCCCCTTGGGACAAGTGCGATGTCCCAAAGACAAGGAGTAGGGACATCTTAGGGATATCAAAATGTCTGGGCCCAATGACATCCCAAGGATATCCCTTTCTTGAAGAAATAGCACATCCCAGAGATGTCCCAGGGATATCCCATTGGGACAAGTGAGAAGTCTCAGGTAGGGGCCTTCCTATTCCTTCCTACCCCATATGGACTCATTTCCTATCGCACAAGAGAACCATTTGTTTTCGTAGATGTCTCTATTTTATATAGGAACACATAATCTAAAGTTCTTGATCGATTGAAGAGCAACGATTAAGGAGGAGGAAAATACCATTCCTGAAGGAAGCCCCATCATAGGAAACACATCTCCAAGGGACGAAATTTAGCACTTTTACACGAGGGGCCATGGATGATATGATGTAGTCTTATGCCTTTTAAATACGTGGTAGTATTGGCTCAGGCCTCCAACCAATATAGTTGTATCCAGACATGCCAATCAGACATCATTAATGAGAATATAAAGGAATAAATTAAAATTCGGACCGCAATTTTTTCACTTTCCCTGATGGCAGTTTTCCTTATGTATGGTACGAAAATCCTTACTTGTCCTCAGGACAAATCAAGTAGATGAATTCGATAGAAAAGTTCTGAGGTTGTAGATCAGGGCTCACGGGAGACATCTACCGTCGAAGCTGTGCACCTGAATGAAGGCGACAGAGAGCACTGAAGATATCTTCAAGATATCCCCTCCAGGATATCCAGAAGCATTCGACTAAGGATGTCTTAAAGATATCCCGAAAGGGATATCTCTAAGATATCGACTGAAGATGTCTAAAAGACGTCCCGAAGACATCCCTTACGAGATGTCCGAAACCGTCCGAAAGAAGATGTCTTCAGGATATCCTATAAAGACATGGGGACAAGTCGTCCAGATAGGGACATCCCTGGGATATCCCTGTGCTGTGTGGGT